CCCCCCACAAAACCAGCCCCTTCCCCCCCGGACCCACGTCCCCTCTAGCCCCCCCGCAGGGAAAAGGGAGTAGCTCAACACAAGGGGAGGCAGAGTCTCGACTCCCCATCCAGCGTGGGGGGGGAGGGACTGGGAGGCAGCAGGAGAGGCCCCTTCCCATACTGTAGCCAGCAGCAGGATGGGGGGCACTCAGCCCCCCAAGGAATGTGTTGCCAGGGCAGGATGTGGAGAAACATCACCTGTTGCCATGGTGGGGTCACTGGCAGGGCATAGGACTTTACAGCAGGACCCAGCAGGGAGTGGAGTTTTCCCTCTAGCCCAGATCGGCACAGGCCGCACCCTCTCTGCCCAGATTGCCCCTGCCCTGGATTTCCAAGCCTCGGAGCCCTTTCCCAAGGCTGAAGGAAAGTGCTAGATGGTAACTAGAGCGTGGCCTGGCCAGAGCCTCCTGCCTAGCTCATCATAGTCAATCGTGGAGGGGTTGGATGGTGCAGATCGCCAGGGACCTGTTCACAGTAAATATTTAATCATCTTCACCTCTAACCAATGGCAAGAAGGGCAGCAGCAGCGCCTAAGGCAACATTAACCCTTGGGCAAGGTAAACTTCCTCCCTTAAGACTCATGGTTTCCTTGTGCCTTTTGTGGTCTCCTCTCCCCCACCACTTCTCCTCTGAGCTGGATGTGACAAACTGCTGCCAAGAATTTCCCCTCCTCGCTGGTCTGGCTGCTCCTACAGATCAATGCACAGAGGGACATCTTTACTTAGCTTGTGGAGTGCCCACACTAGGGGAAGGATCACAACTCCCCATTATCTGAGTCCTCATGAATTGCCAAAGCCACCCTGAACCTGCCTGTGGTGAGCAGAGCCCCAGAGGCCTAGGGACAAAAAAAGAACCCAGCCAGCAGCTGTTACAGAGTCTTTTGGTAAATTTTATTGACCCCCCTTTCCATTTTTCCAACCCCTTCTATACAGATCTCCCTGGAACACAAGAGACCGAACAGATTCCTGAAGGGAAGCAGAAAGAACTGGTCCTATGCATGCTGGTATTCACTGCAATGCCTGGGGTTACAGGTACTCAGGTGACAAACTCTCTCTACACCATGGGAAGTTGGGCTGTGTGAGGAGATACAAACCCAGCAGCTATCTCTCGGTTTGTGCATTGTGTAAGCGGTCTGATGCTCAGCTCCAAGCCTCAACACTAACACCCCCTTGTCCCTGGGGCAAGCTTCAGGATAATCTCATGTCCTCCATGAGCTCAGGAGATCCTAGCAGCTGGGCTTGTATGAAACTTGATGCCTGAGCTCTGCCCACTCCCCAAATGCTGTCGTTTCAGAGGCAGAAAATGCTCTGGACTCTCCTCATAGCCCCATCCAGGAGCAGTATGGGCAGGTGTGCGTGTGTCCTAGGAAGGGCAGCAAGTTGGAGTGGATCTGGGGCAGCCATGGAGAGGAGCAGCCAGGAGATGACAGGCCAGCAAACTGTGAAAACAGGATACAGACAATTGAATAGGAAGGAAAGAAAACAAACCTGATGTGAAAAGCACACGCCTGCAATCCAAAGCATGGCAGTGTCCCCCTGGAGAGGATGCTGAGCCCTGAGGATCCTTTCCCCCCTATTCTTCCCTTCCCCAGGACAATGACCAACAATACTTTCCAGCATCAGAGAGCGTCCAGAGGAAGGCACAAGACTGCCAGACTTCACTTCACGGACAATACCCCCTCCTGACAAGCTGATGATCACTCTGCTATGTACTCCTGTGCTCGCAATGAACCATTAAATAGCATTCCCTACTGCTGCCCTAAGTCCCTGTCACCAGCAGGAACAGGAGAAAGCAAGCCCAATCAAAGCCCAAATACCTGTCCGCCCAGTGATTCTCCTGGCAGATTTTCAAGAGGCCTCAGGGCACCAGGCCAATCTTCTGAGAAGCCGCATAAAGAGTTTGTCTCCATCATTCCTGAGAGACTCACCAGCTCCTGCCTTGCAAACAAACAGCAATTTAAATCACACTGACTCAGTCAGTGGAAAGGATCAGCACTGGTCATCCCACTCCATGCTTCAAACCTAGGAGAGATCATCAGGCCCTTCGCCTCCTTGTGTCCAGGCTGGGGGGGTAGGCAGGACTCCTCTCCAGTGAGCACTGGCAGAAGAGACAGGAGATGCTGGACCTAGTCCTTGCTCTCTCATCAAACCCAGC